CCGTACTGAGGTTCTAATATACTTTCTCTAGTTCTGTGAGCCAACAGCAATTGTTAAGAACGCTTTTGCTTTAAAAGGAACAAAAGTGAACACTGTTGCTTTATTGCCTGACCTGCTAATTTTTTACATGCTTGATGACATCTTTATATATCAAAGAGGATCCATGGATACAAAGGATAATGTGTACCTCAGCAGAATACAGACCTTTCATTATTATTACCTTAATAAAATTAAGAAAATAGCCACATGCAATCAAATACGTACATTATGGAATTTTTCCTTGAATATGTTGTGTACATTTTGCTTGGGAAATAATATAGGAAAGAAATTTAAAATAGAGCTAGGAGTATTAAATCAATTAATTCCAGTGTGAGCTTCTCTGTTAATTTTAATTTTTTCTTTGAGTTTAATGATTTATTAACAATCCATGTTTTTATGTGTTTTTCTTTGTACTTCAAATGAATAATAATTCACTTCATAGTGTGGGAGACAGATTCAGATCATGAATAAAAATAATTATAATGAGTTCTAAACGGGCATCCTTATTCAAATCTAGTAACTTTTACATTGTCTTTCTGTAAATGTTAATTGATTTCAGTCAATAAAATTTTGTATTTTAGGATTAGCTTGACTAAAATATGCAGTATTTTTATCTTATGTATTTTATAGTATATTTTATGCTATGAATGCATATAAATGTGAGTATGGTTGCCTGTAAAAAATCAATTGAATTTTTTATGAATGAAATATATATCTTGTATGAAATATATATCTTGAGAGAGTGAGAGATTGATTCACACATGACTTTCTTCACATGAAGGAATTTTATTTCAGAAATATCTTATAGTTAAATAAAACCATTGAAATTGAAGTACATTTCTCATTTGAGGTATCTGGGTAATACTAGTGTTAAATGTTTCTCAAATAAATGTTTCGTATATGAAAAAAATACAAAAAATTAGCTGGGCAACTAAAAATAGAAAAAATTAGCCGGGTGTGGTGGTGCACACCTGCAGTCCCAGCTACTCAAGAGGCTGAGGCAGGAGGATCACTTGAGCCCAGGAGTTTGAGGTTGCTGTGAGCTAGGCTGACACCACGGCACTCTAGCTCAGGTGACAGAGCAAGACTCTGTCTCAAAAAAAGAAAAAAAAATAAATAGAAATATGCAGTTGCATATGACTTTCAAACATTTATTATTTAAAATAAAAAGCATATGTTAATTTTTGTGGGAGACTTTGCCCAAGATTCATATTTATGCAGTGTCTGCAATGCCAAGTGCTAGCATGAGAGGTAACAGTCAGTCTCTTCAGATATTCCCCAACAGCCAGATGCTTGACATTTGAAGGAACATATCCAAATTATTATGGGATTTGTTTTTAAAACAGTGATAGGAAAACTGTCTTCCTACTATGATATAGGGAAAAGTGAGTGTGTAGAATGCTCTAGAGTTTATCAACTTGTTTACAATTTTGTTTACTTCCCCACTAATTTTCTTTCCATTTAGAAACTAATTTCTATGAGTGGATGAAAAGAAAGCTAACATAGTTTGAATTGAATCATATATAAGATATAGTGCTTTCGTTAAAAATAAGTGCAATCTCCACTCCCAGAGGTGAGTTTGAAAACACATTTCCAGAAAATTTGTGCATTTCCATGAAATAATATTTTGCGAAAACTCTGTGATAATCCTGGAGGAAATACAGAAAACTAAGTTTTCTTCTGAGCAAAAGACATATTTTGGAAATAGTGTAAGAAATCATTGTTTGCTATGTACTATAAAAAGTGACATCATTCTCTTAAAAAAGAGTCTCAAAGTGCATTTGGGTAATAGAATCCAGGCAAGTTCAGAGTGTCCTTTTTTTTAAATTATTCTTTCTTACCTATATCTAGTGTTAGAGAAGAGTGTCCTTAATTATCTCTAGAAAATGGCAGATGTTTAATAAATATTGATAACTGAAAATAAGAATTCTTACTTTGTTCTTTGTGAATGTGGTAATATTATTTTCCACACTGTCATCTTTGCAGTGGAATACATATTTTTTGTTACAAATTTTAATTTTAATTCAGCTCTTAGGAAAAACTATTATTGCAAGAGCTACTAGAATACAAAAGCCCTATTCAAATATTCATATTAAGTATTCTAACAACCAAAATATAACAAAGAAAATGCCAAAACAAAGTTTCTATTTTAGAGATGAGTAAATAGATGGTACACATTTGCAATCAGTAATATACATATAAAATACTATTTCAGGTGAGCTGCAAGAGGTGGGCATGTTCTGGCAAAAAACCTTTCAGTCAGCTGATGTTGAACTTATTTGTGTAATTAAACTCCTCAGGGAAAGAATACTTTTGCACAAAATTTAGGAGCTTATACCTTCAAGCTTCTTCTTGGAACTGCTAATTGTATTGGTTGGTTTTTAAATTATATATCTTTAGAAATTAAGTACAACCATGAGTGAAAATTTTCCAATTAAGTTATTAAAGTATTGAGTGTTGCTATTAGGTTTTCACAGAATCCAATAATTTTAAAATGGAATTTAGGAGTGATTAAAAAAACATTAAGCAGAATCAGTATATGGGGGAGAAAAACATCCTCCCCCAGTGTCACAACGTAATAAGCAGAAAGTTTCAGAATTTCACGAGAAGGACAGATACGTAAATAATAAAGTTCTGTTAAAAATAAGAATCAAGAAAGAATTCTGAAAAGCAAGGGAGTTCTGCAATGGATTTTACAAAATCAGTCAAGTTCAAGAAGTATAACAAAGCAAATCTTAAGCTGTTGCTAAAGTGCTTAGCTAGCAGAATAAACCTATTTCATTTTCTTTCTTGTAGCTCACAACCCCTTTTATAGGTTGTGAAGCAAAAGCAGAAAGCTTCAGGAGGTCTTGGGAAATCACACAAATTGGGTTAAGTATGACTTTTAGGAAACCTAATCTGCTCCCACTAGATAAGGCTTTCCATGCTTGTTGCAAGTCAGATTAATTTGTGGACTGAATTGCCCCACCTTCACTTTAGAGTCTTTGATGGATGTAATAAATGCACGTAAAGAATTTCAGGTGACTTCTAGACCAGCGATGTCTAATAGAACTTTCTGTGATGAGTTAAATGTTCTGTATCTTTTTTGTCTAATATAGTAGCCACTGGTCACTTGTGGCTATTGAGCACTTGAAATGTGGATAGTGGGATGGATCAACTAAATTTTAAATTGTGTTTCATTTTAATTAATTCAACTTTAAATAGCCTCATGTGGCCAGTGACTATCACATTGGACAGTGCAGTTCTACATCTGCTCTATCCCTTTAACTGAAGGCTCAGACGTCATTTCACCACATATTCTGGGGTTTCTGGTCTTAAAGATCACTTGAGTCTTTTAGGTTCCCCAGGGTTAGGTGACCACATAATGAGTTGGTCTCCCCACCCACAGGATTTGCTGCTTGAGGGCTCCATTGGGCAGTAACTGGACTTCACTTCTTTCTAGGTTGCTGTTACTGATAATGTTTATGTATCTTCTGCAGTGGTTTCCAAGCTTTTTGGCACCAGGGACAGATTTCATGGGAGACAATTTTTCCACGGACTGGGATTGGGGGGGATGGCGAGTGATGGGGAGAGGCTGTAAATACAGATGAAGCTTCACTCTTTTGCCCACCACCCACCTCCTGCCGTGCGGCCAGGTTCCTAATAGGTCACGAATCAGTACTGGTCTATAGCCTGGCAGTTGGGGACTGCAGTTCCAGAGTACACATATTTTCATCATATTCTAATTTTTCTTTGCCCCCACAAACATTTGCCAAAATCTTTTTTTTTTTTTTTTGAGACAGAGTCTCACTCTGTTGCCCTGGCTAGAATGAGTGCCGTGGCGTCATCCTAGCTCACAGCAACCTCAAACTCCTGGGCTCAAGCGATCCTACTGCCTCAGCCTCCCGAGCAGCTGGGTCTACAGGCATGCGCCACCATGCCCGGCTAATTTTTTCTATATATTTTAATTTCTTTCTATTTTTAGTAGAGACGGGATCTTGCTCTTGCTCAGGCTGGTCTCGAACTCCTGAGCTCAAACGATCCGCCCGCCTCGGCCTCCCAGAGTGCTAGGACCAAAATCTTTATAACTCCTTTCTGCTTTCCCAGTGACTCCCAACCATAGTGTAAAGCAATGTCTAGCATGATGCTAAATGACCAACTAAAAATATAAGTAAATAATCAATCATACTGATATTTGAGATTAGACTAAGCATCTGAGTAGCTAAGTTGATTTGGATATTTGGAGCTTTCCTCTGACTTTTTGGTAAGAGGCAGAACGAGCCAAAAGGATCAGAGGGTTTTTTTTTTTTTTTTTGTATTTCAACACAGTCACTCAGCAGTCCCTGACAGATGTAAATTCTTTCAAAGGGATTAAACTGGGCACGCTGAGCATGCAGCAGTTCATTTAGTGCACATCATAGATATTTTTTTGTGTGGGAGGGTCTTAGAAATATAAATTTAAGTTGTTCTGCATACTCTCTTAGCTCTCTGCTCTCCGCCATCAGTAGAGGACGAATATTAACATCAGCCTTTAACAAGGACATTTCAGAGGTTAGGACCAAGTCACTGCAAAGTACTTTAAGTTTCCCATTTTGAGAACTCAACCTGCTTTAAGATAACCTAGATGGCCTTTTCTTTGGTACAAATACTGTAAGAACGTAGATTGGAGCATCCAGTCATAAAAATAATATAAAAAATCCAATTGCATCAATAAACTAAATGTCCTTAAAGCAACAAATACACATGATCAGCCAGTACTACTGGCGTTTCACATCCCACCCCCCTTTTATAATATACTTTGTATTGAACACAGTACAGTTTCATATTAAAAAGTGTTTCACGGTTTAGTAGGTATACGGATGAATAGGAAAAGGGCAAGTGGTTATTCCAGATTTACCAGCAGAAAAAAGAACTTAGCAACACAGTGATTCAAATAATCAGAGGTATGTCTCTGAATCATTTTGTTCAAGATTTTCACCAACCTGATAGCTCGAATGACAGTTTTAAGTGGTGGAGTGAGGTCTTCCACTGATACATCACACTGGCATCCTTTTTCATCATATACGTCGTCAGTGCCAAGTGCTGTGTCAGCTGCAAGAGAGAATTGCCAGTTAAGTAACACCACCACCAGCAATTTGAAACATGTTGCTGAATTTGTCTCACATAGGAAGGGTGGGATTATCACAGATTATGTTTATAAACCAAGATTCGTATAATGCCAGCCAATTGTTTTCCCAATATTCTTCTTTCTTCTTTTTCTACAACCTCACCAGTTTTGTGTAATTTACCATGAATGCTTTTCTGAGCTGTTTTCCATGAGGAAGATGAAGCTGTTGACGCTCTGTCTTTGCAGTAGTGGTGATAGATTCGTGTTGATCCACCTATGCTCTTTTGCCCAGTTCCTTGGACATTAACAGCCGGCATTTAAAGGACAGCTGTTTGGAATTAGGGAAACAGTCTTTGGACACGTAACTAACTGGCCTGTATATATTAAGCTCGAATCCCATGACATTGACCCTGTTAGCCCTCTGCCCTGAACAAGTGCGCTGAGTGGCAAGACTCGAGAACGCTGACTACTTATTAGCTACTGGACACAGGCGGCCAAGGAGAGGGCTTGCTTAGCATACTGTAGCCAAAGCTGAGAGCAGATTTTCAGATTGAGTAAGAAAATCGGTTTATCCCAAACTGAGAAAATTTACTTTTGAGTTAATTGTAATGTTTGGAGAAGGAGGTGGGAGTATAATAAATACCAAATTATTAAGAAATTGTGAAATTAATAAGAAATAACTTCATATCATTGCATCTTGTGATGGGGGATGGGTTAAACGTTAAAAATTCCTGTGATGGGGGATGGGTTAAATGAATATTAGTTGGTTTATATAATGGAAAATTAGGAAGCTTTAAAAAATGATGTTGAAGACCAATGACTGAAAAAATGTCACAATATATATATTTTTTTTGTTTGTTTGTTTTGAGACAGAGTCTCACTGTGTTGCCCAGGCTAGAGTGCCATGGCGTCAGCCTAGCTCACAGCAACCTCAAACTCCTGGGCTCAAGCGATCCTACTGCCTCAGCCTCCCGAGTAGCTGGGACTAACTACAGGCATGTGCCACCATGCCCGGCTAATTTTTTCTATATATATTTTTAGTTGTCCAGATAATTTCTTTCTATTTTTAGTAGAGACGGGGTCTCGCTCTTGCTCAGGCTGGTCTCGAACTCCTGACCTTGAGCGATCCACCCGCCTCGGCCTCCTAGAGTGCTAGGATTACAGGCGTGAGCCACCGCGCCCGGCCTCACAATATATTGTTAATGAAAAAAGTCTATATATATCCGAAATTAAGAATGATTTCACTGTTTTTTCTTGCCTATATTTTCTAAAATTTCTACAATGAACATGTATTACCTTAGTCATAAAAAATAAAGTAATAAAAATGCTCTCATGAAATGTGAGTTATGTTGCCCCCAAATGCCATTTTTATATGGCCCAAGTCTCCTAAGTGTCGACATAAACTAGAGGGCTGATACTTCTTCGTGTTGCCTTGGCTCTGTGTGGTGTCCACTTGCTAAGTCTCGAAAGGAAGAGACTTTGCTATGGGCTATCATGGTTTGGTTCAAAATCTTGAAAGACTATTGGAGGTTCATTCACTGAGGCAGTGCTTATATTTGGAATGCAGTTGATGTGCAGCTAATATTTACTGTGTCTTTACCCAGTTTACTTTTTGCTAGGGTGGAGGTGGTGGGGGAAGAGATGAGGAGATCCATGAAGATGGGTCTGCACAGCCCTACTTCAGGGTCCATTGGCCTTCTTGCCCTCAAGGCTAGTAAAGGGGAGAGATGAAACTACCACCTAACCATAATGATAATATTAATAATAATGCTGCTATTGTCTGAATTTATCCCTCAAAATTCTTACGTTGAAACTTTATCGCCAATGTGATAGTATTATATTAAGAGTGTGGGGCCTTTAAGAGGTGATTAAGTCATGAAGGCTCCACCCTCATGAATGGGATTTACAACCTTATGAAAGGGCTGGAGAGAACTAGCTAGGTCCTCTTGCCCTTCTGTCCCTTCCATCACGTGAGGACATAGTGTTTGTCTCTTCTGGAATATGCAGTATCAAGGCACCGTCCTGGAAACAGACACTGGGCCCTCAACAGACACTGAACCTATGGTGCTTTCATCTGGGACTTCCATCCTCCAGAACCATGAGAAATAAATTTCAGTTCTTTATATTAATAAATTATCCAGTCTCAGGTAATTTGTTCCAGCAGTGCAAACAGCCTAAGACAAATAGCAGCCACTCATTGGAATTTATGCCAGGCACTTAGGTGAAGCTTCTGCATATATTGTTTTTCATTCTTAGAGCAATTCTACAAGTTGGTGGTGGTATTATGTACAGTTTTGAGACACAGAAATTAAGGTAAATATCTTGTCTGAGGCCATGAAGGTGGTAAGTGGAGCTAGTAAGTTGTGGACCATGATATTAAAATCCAATTCCTTGAGGCTCCCAAGCCCATGCCATTTACATTGCATTACTCAGTGTCGGAATGAGTTCAGGGTTAAATAGTGACATATAACATGTCAGAGGAGACAGGACAAAGAACTTACTACAGTGAGTTGCCTGACATGCACAGCTCGTCCCTGTGGATACATTCAGCTTTTCTCCAGAGAAGTTTGCCGCCTTTCAAACGTGAGAACATTGATTAACTCTGCATTTGACAGTTAGTTCAGACTCAGTGATGGTCTCCAGGGTAGCGGACCCATTTTGCTTGGTTGACCACCCACACAACACAGCCATTTTAGCCCACAAACATCACGCCCAAGGTTAGATGACATTCTTCCAGGAATTCTTCATGGTTTCTTCTGATTTGATCCCAGCCTGCTCTTAGTTGCTGGAGTGGGATGAATATTGTCACTCCAAAATTTATGTCCAGCTGGAACATCAGAATATGAACTTATCTGGAATAAAGGTCTTGCAGATATAATCAAGATAAGGTTGGAGATGAGATCATACTGGATTAGGGTGGACTCTAAATGCAGGGAAAGTGTCTTTATACAAGACTGAAAAGGTGACGACACAAGGACGCAGAAAAGACGGAAGCAGCGACTGGAGTGATGCATGTACAAGCCTACGAACACCAAGGATTGCTGGAAACCACCAGAGGCCAAGAAAGAGGCATGGGATGGTTTCTCCCTCAGTGCCTCCAGAAGAAAGCAATCACAGTGACACTGTGATTTCAGACTTCTGGACTCCTGAGCTGTGGGACAATAAATATCCGTTGTTTCAAGTCACCCAATTTGTGGTAATTTGTTACAGCAGCCCCAGGACTTAATACAGTTGGGAAAACTTTTCTTCCTGGTTTCCAATTCTTCACTCCAGGATAATAATGATGACGTTAATAACCGTAATAAGAGCTTTTTAAGAGAAATCTAATTATGTGTCAAGAATTTTAATTAATTGGTATAAAAACCCATGAGGTATGTATTATTATTAATATTACCCTCTGTTTTACAGAAAGTGAGGCACAGAAGGACACACGGAGAATAAGTCACAGAACCAGAATTTAAACCCAGGCGGTTGGATTCTGGAGCTCCTTGACCCTGAATCTCACCTCTGACCTCTTTGATAAATGCCCTTCTTGTCTCTCTTGTTGACATCTGGGTTCCCTTCTCCTGAAGCACATTTTCCTTCACATAGCTGTGAGCACCTGGCATAGAGTGGACCCCACAACATTGAGAGAGGATCTGATTTTGAGCACTGTGGTCACCGGGGCCATGTGCGGAGCCAGTCCACACTCAAAGGGGGCCCTGGAAATACAAAGACCCTGGAACTCTGAGGAGCGTGTGTGGGAGCTGTGGGGGGAGGTCAGGTGCAGTGGGGGACTCACGCACAGACTGGGTGGCTGACAGAGCTGAGACCACCAGCCGCCATATGGAGCCCTGTGAGATGCCCAGATGTTAGTCCCCAAAGGAAATATCAAATAGCACACTTTATCAGGATTCCTAGCAAAGAATTCACTAGAGTATTTTATGCTGTCCTCCAAAACAGAGGCATGTGACAGCTTTCTCTCATTAGGGAAGACGTACTTCCCTAATGAGAAGTACGTCTAACATGGTCCCACCTCGTACCTCAGAAAACTGGGGAACACTGGAGAGGTTACAAGACAGATCCAGCAAACCTGTATTAGTAACTTCTCTGCTTGAACATACAGGATAGCCAACCATAACATGATGATGCAGGTCCAAACAATTAAACAGCACACAATACAGGGTCCTTTAATTGTGAGGTTAATGGAAAACTATTTTTTTCAGCAGGTGTGTATTGTCACAATAAGGACAAAAATAAAGATACTGCAACTATAACGTTCACAACTGACTGTATATGGAAATGATTACAAGACAGTTACCTCCCAGCCTCATGCTGCACTCCTCATCCCCACATCCTGTACCCCAATAAGAGACTCGCTCTATCCATTCTGTTTAGGAACAGGGCTGGACAGAGGATACCAGTCAGTCACCAATGACATCACATCCAAATGCATCTGAGCATGCGGTTTTATTATAGCACTTTATAACTTGATTATTCAAGGCATAAATTAAACACTCAGTCCTGCTTTTTTTTTGTGGTAGGTTTGGTTAGCGCAAATGAGTAGGAAATATATCTTTACTGGCATATGTTAGCAGGGTCTGACTTAGGGAATTTTTTTTTCTTCTACTTCAAAGCCACAAAAATGGGGAAGATGCCATCTTCTTCCTTCATAAGTAGAGTGTACCCTCACTAATGTCATCGATACGTTCATGGAAACTGAGTTGAAGTGAAACGATGTAAAACGAAACCAATTTTACCATAGGCTAATTGATATAAACAAGCATTAAGTTCCTACAGCGTGTTTCTGGTCACAAAATCACCAAACTTCTAAATAAAGACTTAAAACACTTATAATTAAACAATGAAATAAATGTGAGCCATACGTACATTTAAGAAAACAATAATAAAAACAAGTCAGATAATTATTTCCTAATTTTTGGTGAATCTGTGAGTGACAGTGGTCATAACGGTGGTGGGTTAAATCAAGGAATAAATGTTTGCA